CAAAGGTATTGCGAGGGAACACAAAGGTATTGCGAGGGAACGCAAAGGTATTGCGAGGGAAAGCAAAAGAAAAAAATCCCCCCCATGTCCCCTCGCGGGGTCCGTAGAATCTAAAGAGAAGTCATACTCAAGATTTTATATATCAGCTCATATCTGTGTTGTGAATTCAAACTCTTTTAACCTTTTTCATTACTTTTGTTATATTTATAAAGACAGCAAAAACAGAAGAAGGTATTGCTTACATGTCCTGATGCATCTCAGTAAGCCAGGTAAAAAAAATCAAAAAGAAAATTATTGTTTAGGTCTTCTGGACGGGTTCTTCTCTAATGAAACGTTTCGTCTCTCCTCCAAGAGACTTCTTCAGTCTGAGAGTTTCAGGCAAAATTCAGGCTTTTAGTCTCTTGGAGGAGAGACGAAACGTTTCATTAGAGAAGAACCCGTCCAGAAGACCTATACAATTTTTTTCTTTTTGATTTTTTTTACCTGGATTACTGAGATGCATCAGGACAAAAATCAAGAACTGTTTTTCTCTGTCAGAATAAACATATGTAAAAATACTTAAAAGTCTTAAAATACTTAAGAGAAGTAAGATCAAAATAGAAGTAATATCAGGAAGAAAAGCATTAAACAATGATAACATATACATTTTTCATCAATCAACTTTAGATTAATTCATTAACTGATAAATCGATAATGTGAACTACAAAGTAACTAAAAATATTCTGTTTAGTGAAAGTGGTATATAGATGAAGTTGTATTTTTATAACTGTGCAGAARTGATGCTGTTATCAGAGTATTTTAATATGTAAGTAATATCGGACATGTTTCTCAGTTCTCAGAGCTTGTAGTTGATCTCAATCATGTCTCTATGAATGGTTTCTGTCACACTGGCTCTGTGCAGAAGTAGATTTTGTTTTTATTGCCATATTCTGGGCAGTTTGGTTAATTTTGAAGCTAATCTACATGGAAAATGTGTGTACATGTGTACTCTGTGATTTAAAAGGTAGTTGTAGTTTATTTAGCAATAGAACTACTTAAGTTTCTCAAACATCTTTTTGTTATTTGTTAAGGACATTTTCATGTTAGTTGTACTCAACCAGTACATTGTCCTGTGGATAATTTGTAACATTTATCTGGTTAAAKTTGATTTAGTCTGCAGAATAATCTCTGGTTCCTTAGGTCCATGAAGGTAACTTGTTCTGTGGGTTTCTCAGCTGTTGTAAAGAAAATGCTCTCAGATGTGGGGTGGCGGTGATGAATGCTTCTGTAATATCATTAGGTGTAGAAAAAAATCAGATTGCTTTAATCCATGGAAATTTCACACAGATGATGACTTCTGTCAATGTGTAGTTGTTTTTTGTTCGGTACTGCATTGTTGTTTCCTGTGTGTAGTTGATGTGTTTGTAACAGCAGATGAATCATGCACACCATCTTCTCATGGGTGTTTTGGTGAATTGCATAATTACATCTCCATGTATTGTGGATACAAATGTAGGGTATACATTTAGTCCACTTTCTTTCGTTGATTCTGACTCAACAACTTCTATGCTGTTCAGTTTTTCATTGAATTTACWTGATATTTAAACTGTTTATTGGTAACATTCTACAGTAGCAGAAGGTAATTGCCTTCGCTTGTGGTTCTTGAAGTTGAGGAAATCGGTACTGGAAAGTCTTTGAAAGTCCTTAAATTTGATGTTGACCAAGGAGTGGGAACCCTGGAAGTTTAAACCAGTTTTTAAATCGTGTTGTTAGGCCGAGTACATCCAAAGATATGATAAAAGTGTATATTCTTTTTAAAAGACGGTCTATTTGATGTGCGGCGCGTCGCGAGGAGGAAATGTGTGCGGGGGGAGGGGGTAGACCTAAATCCACCGTTTTGTCGTCCTCTCGGGCCAAAAGTATAAAAACTCTCCTTTTTTTTCTGACTGAGGCCCAAATTTATTTGTTGAGCAACAAAACGGTTCAGGACGAAGGGGAAAAAAGAAAAGAAGACCCGATCGAGCTGCAGGTCTGCAGGGAGAGGGGAGGAGGTGGAGAAGGGGGGCTGCTTCAGAACCGCTTTTTTACTGGGTCAAACAGTGTTTTAGTCAGAAAGAACCAACAAGAATGAAGCAAAAAGTAATGAATTAGAGAAAAAAATAAATGTTAAATGTAAATAAATTCTTATTATAACAAATTAATAATAGTTTTACATCTAAAAATCAAATTTTATTC